AATTAATTTAAATCACTTTAGAGCATGGTATGTTTGAAAATACTACCTATGAAATATATTCTATAAACAAATTGAGCTGCAAAGAAATTACAAACCTCATTCAGTATAATACTCGTAAGCTGTAGTACTGTATTAATGATCTTGAAACTATTTTAAATATATTTTAGGATAAAGAAAATAAGTAATTATGTTAATATTGTTTGAAACCATGATTTTCAGGGTAAGAACAAAGAAATATGAGTATGCAATCAAAGAAAAATTTTTAAGACTACATTGGATTTTCAGATATTAATATAAGCTCATGATCTGTTTCTCAAAAATACAAATTTCCTTTCTCTGCCCAATGAGAAAAATTTAGAGCTGTGCTATTCCATGTGGCGGCCCTGGCCACTGTGGCTACTGGACACTTGAAATGTGACTAATCCAAATTGACATATGCTATAAGTACAAAATTCACACCAGATTTCAAGGCTTAGTATGAAAAAAGAATGTAAAATGCCTCAATGAATAAATACTTATATTCATTATATATTGAAGTGATATTATTTGGGATATACTGAATTAAACATTTCATTAACTTTACTTTTTTTAAATATGTTTACTAAAAAAATTAAGTTACAACTGTGGTTCTCATATTTCTGTTAAACTGCATGGTCTGGAGGCAATGACAATGCATAGCAACGGGCACCACCAGCATTCAGACTGACTCCCAATACCGTTACCCAACAAAGGAGCAGGGCTTCTGGGAGGAATGGCAGGAAATGTTTAAAATCAAATGGGATAACTTGGCCAGAATCAAGGAGGCTATCAACGCCACTATAAGGTGTCAAAGACCACAGAAGCCAAAATAAAGGGTCTGCCACTGGCCAAAAACAATTTTAAAATATTGTTTTTAAAAGATGAATTGGGCTGGGCACAGTGGCTCACACCTGTAATACCAGCACTTTGGGAGGCTTGGCAGGAGAAATGCTTGAGCTCAGGAGTTCAAGACCAGCCTGGGCAACATAGCAAGACCTTGTCTTTACTAAAAATAAAAATAAAAAATTCGCCAGATGTGGTGGTGCTCACCTGCAGTCCCAGCTACTTGAGAAGCTGAGGTGGGAGGATCACTTGAGTGCAGTGATCCAGGCTACAGTGAGCTACAATGGTGCCACTGTGCTCTAGCCTGGGTGACAGAATAGAAGCCTGTCTCAAAAAACAATACAAAGAAAAAAAGATGAATTCATTGAAGCACACTGGCTATGTAAACACCCATTAGTTTACAACGACACTCAAGAAGAGAAAAAGCCAAAAAAACAATGAGCCAACAACAAAAAAACAACCCACTAGATACAACTGGAGGAAACTAAAATACCAATTCTTACTCTGAAAATAAGCAAATAAAGAAAAGACTTAAGAATTTGTCATGCCTTGGCCGGGCACGGTGGCTCATGCCTGTAATCCCAACAGTTTGGGAAGCCGAGGCTGGCGGATCACCTGAGGTCAGTAGTTCGAGACCAGCCTGGCCAACATAGTGAAACCCCGTCTCTGCTAAAAATACAAAAAAAAAAAAAAATTAGCCTAGCGTTGTGGCAGGTGCCTATAATCCCAGCTACTCAGGAGGCTGAGGCAGAAGAATCGCTTGAACCCAGGAGGCGGAGGTTGCAGTGAGCTGAGATCGCACCATTGCACTCCAGCCTGGGGGACAAGAGCAAGATTCGGTCTCAAAAAAAAAAAAAAAAAAAAAAAATTTGTCGTGCCTTTTCTGTATGAATTCTAAAACTCACATATACCAAATTGCTTTAGTTAATAAGGGAGTGTTCTTTACAGAAAAATTTCAGCTAATGTGGAAGAAATGAAAGAGAAAAATCACCATTTGGCAACTCCATTTGAAATAATGGGTCTAGGCAATGGTTATCAGTGGCTACTAAAAACATGAGACAGAGGCTGATGGGGGGTCTTATAATGACTGGTCCAGACGAGGGATACTCCATGAACCCACTGGTCAACCTTATCACTAAAGATGACCATACTTCGTATGCTCCTGATAGGACACAACGTGAACACATAACATCACCCACAAAGTGTTCTTGCCAAAAAGGTGGATCCTGACTCTAATCAAACCTTTAGAATTCACTTCTATCTTAAAGAAATATGGGGGAGAGCGGCACAACTTAAAGACACCACAAAGAAAAAAAGAGTAATTGCAAGAGTGAGACACTCCACAGGTAACTGACCTTGTTTTTTCAACAAGTTGAAGATATTAACAAGAAAAAGGAAGACTGCCTTAGATTAAAAGAGATTTAGGAGCCAAGACACAACCGCCACATGCAATGTGTGCACCTTGTCTGGATCCCAATTTGAATTAGCCAGCTACTCAAAGAGAAACTGGAAAAGTTGGGGGAATATGAATTAGAACTAGACATTAAATGATCCAAGAAATTCTTGTTCATTTCTACAGTTTTGTAAGATAATATCCAAATGTTATGAAAATGCATAAAATGCAGAGGAGATAAATGACACAATGCCTGGGATTGGCTTAAAAACAGGAAAATGTGGAGGTGAAGCAGAGGAGAGAGAAAGCAAGAGAGGCAGGATCTTGAAAATTCTAGAATCTCAGGGATGGTATTCATTATGCCATTCTCTCTCCATTTCCGTATGTTTGAATATTTTCATAATGAAAATAGAATGTCACATGAATATCCTGCTTTGTATTTATCAAAGACTTCCAGAATGGAACATGAGCACTTCTGATCAACACATCACAGCAGAGGAGACCTCGCAAAGCTGGTGTCATTCCTACCAAAAACAAAAGACACTGGACATTTTATCTGGTCTCATCCCAAAAACATGTTTTAGGTTTTTTGAAATACTGGAAATGACTCCCCTATACCCACTATTGCCTCTGTAGACTCCCAAACTTGGAATTATTAACTAGTCCAGTCATTGAGACTAGAAGTAATATGATAAGGTGTTAGTAAAAACTAGGACATGGAAACACCAGATAAGCCTCAGTTTCCTTATCTACAAAATAGTTGTCAATTTTGAGATGGATTCCAGCTCTGACATTCTGCACCTAAGGCCCAGACACTCACAGGGAGAAAGAAGGGCAGTGGATAAAAAGGTGGTGGGGGGTGGGGAGGTGGGTGGGAGTGGAGGGAGCCAGTGACCCCCATGATGGGGCCCTTCTTCCCCAGGATTTGTAGATCAGACCCAGAGGCCAGGGAACTCCCTGCCTACCATGGGCCCACCACCCTCACTCACCATCCCGAAGAAGCCAGGCCTGTCCTCAGGCACATGCAATTCTGGATACACAGTCTCCAAGAACCACTTGAAGTCCTTACACTGGAGCTTGGCCCGGAGCTGCTTCCTCTCTGTCACATCCCCAAAAGGTTCCTGAGAAAACAACAAAACAGTGAGACCCCACGGGTCCTAGTGCTTCCTTTCAAAGCCCCTGTGTTCACTGATGCTCACTTACTAACCACCAGCCACCTTTGACAGAGCATTCGTTGCATGCCAGGCCCTGTAAGGAGCACAGAGGATAGAACACAGCCTTGCACCTAATTCCAGTTTCTAGTATGAGAGGCTGTCACAGAGACAATTCCATTCCTAGGTGCTCTGTTGGGAGGGGGGTGTGACCAGATGCACGAGCCCACCTGCTGATGGAGTGAAGGAGCCAAGCCTTGGGGCTGCACTGGCATCTATGGATCCTGGACCTGTGACCCAAGCTTGTGATCAGAGGTCATCCTGAAACCCAACCAGGGAAATGTCAGTTTCACCGAGACATATGCTGTGACTTTCCGGTTTACTACTAATATCGGAATATCCACTTTCAAACACAGGTAAATATTCTAGATGTAATCATGTTATTAATATGAAATAAGCAATAAGAAATACTTGTGCAAGTTTGGTTTTATGGACAAAACTAATGACTGAGAGCTTTTGCATATTTAAATATAGCAAGCCTCTATTTAGTATGGCAAACGTGCAGCCACAAGAAAAATGCTGAGTGCAAAAATGTTACCATACCTGCACTGTCATGTTAAACAATTAAAAGCTGACAAGTTAAATATTGAACAAAATGGTAATAATAAGTAAATGTTTGAATAAGATTTCAGATTTCTGCTATTTTCCAGAGGTCTGTCACTGATGAGTCACTGTGCCCCCAGCTTCAGCCAAGTATCCATTTAGCACCCAGCCCTTGGGCATGCAGCCTAAGGGTGCATTCAGTGCCTCCCTAAAATATTCTCTGGGGACCCTCAGGAAAAGGGAACTATGGGTTCCAGACTGTGCATGAGGAAACAGTGGGTGTTTCTACTGTATGGTGCTGGGCAAGACGGAGGAGGCAGAAGCAATGACTATGGAGCCCAGAGCCAGAGAGGGGCTGAGTGGGAGTCTGAGAACCCATGGGCTCTGCAGAGCAGAGCAAGAGGTGTGCTGCAGAGTACAGGCCCCAAGCCCAGTTCTACCTCCTATCAGTTATGGGGCCTGGACAAGTTCCTTCCAACAGCTGCTCTCTGAGCTTCAGTTTTCTCATCTATAAAATGAGAATTTTATTGCTACCCTGCAGGGTTGCTGGAAGGACCCAGAAGAGACTTCCATGAAGTGGCCTGATGAGAAGCCTTAGAGCAAGACCTTCTTGTATTGCCAAAAAGCCCTACTAGCTACGCAAATGCAGGGCAAGCAGGCACCCTGCCATGGATCATGTAGAGCTGGCTAGGGCAGACGCAGTGGACTGTGTTGCACGTGAAGCCCAAGATCTGGGAAATAAGAGGCAGATCCCTCATCCACAGTGGTCCCTGAGGTGGAGGCAGAGCAAGGATCTGGACCAGGCAACAAGTCCCTGAGATAAATTGCTCTGAGGAAGGACAGAGTCTGGGCTGAGCCTCAGCCTCCGACAGGCTCAGTGCAGTGGGTGGTTGGGCCAGTGTCACTGCAATGTGTGGCTGGGACCCAGAGGAGCAAGCCAACAGAGCTGAGACTTCAGCAACTACAGGCACACCTTCACTGTCGTTCAGAGAGATGGGCCCAGCAAGGCCTCTGAGTGAGGAGGAAGATGGGCATCTGTTATGCTGGCGATGGGGGCGTTTCCATGACCATGACATATGGTGAGAAATAGTAGCAGCGGGCGCCTGGGCCACTCTCCAGTAGTCCTTCCATCTGGAAATGGAAGCAGAACAGACTCCCTGTTTTAGAAAGGGAAGCTTCCAGGGTGCTAAGAAGAAGTCTCTAGAGGGAGGTAACAGACCCCTAACTAATAAGGTGGGTGCGTCCCTGAGCAATAGCTTTAAGGTAAAGAACTGTGCCTTAACTTGTACCCAGTGTTTGTGGACTCACCCCTACTGGCTACAAAGAGGAAAACCACAACACATGGACAATGCCTGGCCTGTGACACCAGGTATCCCCAACTGTCTATGTTGGTACAGTCCAGCCTCATTATTTACTGGTTCTGTAACTGTGAATTTCCCTACATGCTGTAATAAAATTGACTTGTAACCTCCAAATCAATACTTGTGGTGTTTTCTAATTTTCACACACATTCATGGACAAAAAATTTGAGTTGCCCAACATTCCCATTCTCAGGTGATGCAGAACAAGGGCACACACCGCCTTCCTGTGTCAGCTCTCATCCTGTAAACCACTGTCCTTTTCACCATCTGTTGGGCACCACATTTTTTTCTGCTTTGTATTGGTGACTGCACCAGCTATTCTAGAGTGTCCCCTAATCGTAGTGCCATCTAGTGTTCCTAAATGCAAGAAGGTTGTGATGAAGAGAAAATAACACGTGCTAGGTAAGCTTCATTCTGGCATGAGTTATCGTGCTGTTAGCCATGAGTGCAAGGTTAATGATGCAACGATATATGTTAAATAGGTGTCTTTGAAAAGAAACACACAGAAAACAAGGTTCTGTATTGATCTGCTGACAAAACTGTGCCCCAAGTCTGGCAGGAACCTAACCCTGTATTTCCCCTAAGAGCAATGGCTCTATTTTCACGAATTCAGTATTTGTGGTGGCTTTATGGAATATAACAGCTGTAAATAACAAGATTTGACTGCATATAATTATTATAAATGGAGGAATAAATTCTCCCCATACTCGTATCTGAGCACCCAAATTATGCTCTATTTCTGGAACCAGATCAACTATGTTGGGGAAGCCACAATTAGCTGCTGTTGTTCAGATGAAGCCAGATGGAGTGCAGGTGGGCTGAGGAACTCACCAAGCGGGCATGGGGGTTGCGATGGTAGTAGAGCTCTTTAAATTCATCCATCCACACTTCAGCTGCACGCACACTGTTGGCCAGAGCCTTGTTGCGGGAGTAGGGAGCTTGCTTGGGGAAAACATGGCCAACATGGGAACACGGGTGTGTTTCCAGAATCCCACCACACTGCCAGATCTGCACACAGAGAAAAGGAGAGGTCAGGTGGTGAGCAGGGGATGAGCTGCAGGTCCATAGTATCTGCAGCAAGGACGCCAGGCACACACAAGGCATGATGGGCGCTGCCAAGATGCTCAGCCTCCATCGGGCAGGAGGCCACCTACCCAGCACACTCATGACACAGAATGTGGGTAAAGAGCAAGAAAGCAGCCCCCAAAACAAATAAGCTGTGGAAACCAAGACCCCAAAGTCCATGCACTAAAGCTCATGCACTTGACTCACAGGAGCATCCACAGAGACCTCACTGGCAACCCACTTACTCATTACAGAAAACACAGGCTCGATTACCTGATCTCCTAGCCACAGAAGATAGGAAAGCAGCAAGGAAGAAGAGAGGTTTGGAAGGGGGAAAGGAAGAGCTTCTAGAAACAGGTAGAGCAGCCTGACACCTAGGGAAGAGGCAGAGAGACCATTAAAAGCACACCCAAAGACTCAACAGGCGGAGGCATCTGAGCCCATCTCACACTGGGACCGAAGGCCTTGAACATCTCATTTTCCCAAAGATGGGACAACCAAGCCTAGCATCTGGTACTTATTATGGAGGGTGTGAGTCCTCAGTAGAAGGCCAAATTCTTGTTTATTCACAGTTTTTATGAGGGCAGAACACCATATAAAATATGATTAAAAATCTTAATTTTCCACTGAAAAGCACCAACATTCACACAAAGTTTTGATGTTTAAAATGTAAGACTTCATTAACTGGAAAATCTACTGAAATGCTAGGAGTTTTCCAATATGGTTTCCATGGGCCATGTAGAGTAGCATTGGTAGATAGGCTTGTTACAAAAAGCAGAATCTTGGTCCCACCCTAAAGCTATCAAATCTGGCTTTCTAGATTGTGCTTGTCAATCTGTCTTTCTAACAAGTTTACCCAGTAATTCTTATATGTGTTGGCTGGGTGCAGTGGCTCACGCCTACAATCCCAGCACTTTGGGAGGCCGAGGCGGGTGGATCACCTGAGGTCAGGAGTTCAAGATCATCCTGGCTGACAGGGTGAAACCCCGTCTCTACTAAAAATACAAAAATTAGCCAAGCGTGATGGCGCATGCCTGTAAACCCAGCTACTCAGGAGGCTGAGGCAGGAGAATCACTTCAACACGAGAGGCCGAGATGGCAGTGAACTGAGATCGTGCCACTGCGTTCCAGCCTGGGCGACAGAGCGAGACTCTGTCTCAAAAAAAAAAAAAGAAATTTTCACATCTGTCAAGGTTTGAAAGCCACTGTGCTAAATAAAGAGTCCACTTCATAAGGAATTAATCAAATAAAGGCTCCAGAAGACAGGATCAGGAGGAACCTAATCCTGAGCAAGTCACCTCTCTCCTGGTTTCACTTCCTCCTCTCCATAGAGTGAGAGAGAACTATGTGACTTGCAAGGCCCTTTCTGGCCCCAAATCTAGTAAAAGTACACTTTTTAAAGAGCTGAAACAAGAAGGCAAGCATGTTTATAGGATATGCATGTCATCATCTTTCAGGGTCCACCAGGCTCTCACAGCAAATCCCATCGTTCCCAAAGAGAGAATCAGTTAAGAACATGTCCAAAGAGAAGACTGGAATACTTACCCTAAAGGAGAATTCGAGGTTTTCTCCTCCCCAGACTTCCATTCCTGTATCATAAGACCCCAGATATTCAAAATATTTCTTACTCACAGCAAACAGCCCACCGGCCATTGTTGGAGACCTAAAAAAGTGTTACACCCATATTTCACTGTAGGCAGCAGGAAACCATCACAGTTACCCAACTACCTTCCCACCACGAGCCCTTTCATCTGTTCATCCATCATCTCTAAGCATACCCTGCCTTCACCTCCGTGCCCCACACTAGGCTGGGCCTGGAAGCACTGATGTACCCTACAGTCCCTGCCTTGAGGGGGCTCCCAGGCTTCTCAGCAGGCACTGTTGAGTACTGCTCAACAGTATTAGCACACAGTACTCTGTGTGTGCTAAATATGTTAACTAAAGTCAGCCGGGGCCCTGGGGGAACACTGAGGAGGGCAGGCGCAAAAGGGTAGGACTAGGTTCCCTGGAGGAGGCAAGGTCTGCAGGACAAAGGACAGTTAGCCAAGAAGAAGGGAAATGGAATGGTTCTCCAGCATGAGCAAAGGCTTAAGGGTGGGAGAAATCCAGGGACATTTAGAAGCACAGAGTACAAGGAGAAGAGAGAAGCAAGAGACCACATTCCAAGAGGAAGGGAGGCTCCAGGCCATGGTCATCTGAGGAGGTGTGATCTCACAAGGCAAGAACTCACAGATACCACTGAGAGGCCAGTACGCAGAAGACCCTAAAGGCGACTCTGGCATCTGAAAGCACCGGGAGGGCCAGGTCCTCTCCTGCTCGAGTGGTTTCCCCCACCAGGACCCCGCTAGCCAGCCTTGTTTCCCCCCACCCGCCACCCGCCACCAGGTTTATCTGGAAGCCAGCACTGACTTCAGAAACGGCCCACGGCTTCCAGCCTACACGGCAGAACACTGTAAGGTCAGCACGCCCCAGAGTTGCACAGGCAAAAGGATAAATGCAGAAATAGGGAAAAGGCCAGGTGTGGTGGCTCATACCTATAATCCCAGCACTTTGGGAGGCTGAGGCGGGCGGATCTCCTGAGGTCAGGAGTTCGAGACCAGCCTGGCCAATATGGCGAAACCCTGTCTCTACTAAAAAAATACAAAAATTAGCCACAGGTGGTGGGCACCTGTGCTCCCAGCTACTCAGGAGGCTAAGGCAGGAGAATCACTTGAATTCAGGAGGAAGAGTCTGCAGTGAGGCAAGATCGTGCCACTGCACTCCAGCCTGGGCGACAGAGCGAGACTCCAACTCAAAAAAAAAAAAGAAATAGGGAAAGAAAACATTGAGAGCACAACTGCTGAAAATGTTAACATCCTCCAGCATCGGGGCCTGCCCTGGACTCCAAGCGTGGCGTCAACTGAGAAGACAACAGCAACATCCCCAGTGGGAGGGAAGGTTCTAGAATACAAAGCACCTTCATGTGTGTTTATCCTAAAAACCTAGGAAATAGGCAGGGTGGATATGCTGGTACCTATTACACAGATGAGATAACTGAGGCACAGGGATATTATGGGATGGGGAGGATAGGTGCTCTGAGCATGTGGGGTAGGGGGGGCAATCCGAATTCATGGCCCCCCATGAATTCATGACAGGCTGCCGAAGTAGCCTGGATTAGAGCCTCCTACTCTGTGTCTCAGTTTCCAAACCTGTTCAGTGAGGGATTGAGCAGGATGTTCTCACTAAGGGCTCCTACAGAAGCCTGGGTGCCATTCTCAATTCCTTCCTTCCCCAATTCCCACTCAATTTCTCCCAATTCTTCCATCTTAACATCTCTGGAATCCACAGTGCCCACCATCTCCTGAACCATTGTTTCCGACCTGGAGGACTGCAGAGCCTCCTAATGGTATCCCTGCCCAAAATGGTCCCTCCAGGGCCCTCACCACATGGCACGCAGCACATGGTCAGGTCACTTCCTGCTCGGATCCCTTCAGTGGCTTCTATCTGCTCAGAGTCAGGTCCAAACCCCTTCCCTTGGCCCCACCCATCTCTCCAGCCTTATCTCTGGACACTCTCCTCGCTTGCTCCACTCCAGCCAGCAGCAGGTCATCTTAAGGTCAGGACTCTGGTGAAAGGATTCAGAAGCCCAACTGCCAAATGTGGATGCAGAACTAAGAGCCTCCTTCCGGTTCAACACACCAGTGGTGAGGCTGAAGTCCTGATCTCCTTCTGCCCAAATCCCACATCTGTCTCCCACTTGCTTCTGAACTTGGAAGGGGAGGAAGAAGCAAGGCTATCACTTCAACACCTCCAGAATGAGAGCTGCTGAGCCTCCCTTGGGCCCACTCTACTCAGACCTTGACTTACCCACTGGCCAGAGCGGGCTCTTCCACCTGCCATGGATCCACCCACACCCCAGGTCAAAGGGGCCTAACGATGTTTCCTCAAGAATGAACATATGACCAGCAATCCCCCTCCTAGGCATATACCCGAAAGAACGGAAAACAGGGACTAAAGCAGATAGAAGTACACCGATGTTCACGGCAGCATTATTTAACAATAACCAAAAGACAACCTAAGTGTCCACCAACAGAAGAATAAATAAACAAAATGTGGCATATATGTACAAAGGAATATCACTCAGCCATCGCAAGGAATGATGTTCTCTAGGAAGCTTGAAAACATGATGTTAAGTGAAAGAAGCCAATTACAAAAGGACAAATATCGTATGATTCCTCTTACATGGGGCACCTGAAAGAACAGAGGTTCCCAGGGGCTGCGAAGGGGAGAAAGGGAAGTTATTGCTTAGTTGGGGATATTTTCTGTGTGGGATGATGAAAAAGCCCTGGAAACAGGTAACGATTATGTTTGCACAATACTGTGAATGTGCTCGACGCCACTAAAATTGCATGCTTTATTTAATTTATTTATTTTTTATAGAGACAGGGTCTCGCTCTATCACCCTGGCTGGAGTGCAATTGCGTGATTGTAGCTCACCAAAGCCTTGAACTCCTCGACTCAAGCGATCCTCCTATCTCAGCCTTCCAGCTAGCTAGGCCTACAGATACACACTACCATGCTCGGCTAATCTTTATTTTTTTGTAGAGATAGGTTCTTGCTATGTTGCCCAGGCTGGTCTCAAACTCCTGGACTCAAGCAATCCTCCCACCTTGGCTTCCCAAAGTACTGGGATTATAGGCATGAGCCACCATGCTCAGCCTAAAATTACATACTTCAAAATGGTTAAAATGGTAAATTCTCTATGATGCATATTTTACCACAATTTAAAAATTAAATAAATAAAATATACCAACATAAAATTGACTTGTGTAGCAGACATGTTTAATAAAAATAAACAAATATTCTAGGCAAAAAAGTGGGAAGAGGAGAGGTAGTTAAGCTGACAGCTAATCATTCCACCCGAGGGCCTCCGCTGACAGGTCAGCCAGATGCAATGAGGCATGCTTAAAAAACAAGTCACCCAGAGGTCAGCTCCTGACCTGATGACATCGACGGGGGATCGCATCCGTATCCTCTCCCGCTCGGGAACCGTGTGCCACGTGAACACCAGCCTCCAGTCGAAACCGCCGATCTGGGGCTCCCCAGAGTTCCCCAGGTATTCGAAGGTGTTCCAGTCGATCACATCAATCACTGGGCACACAACTGCCGACTCCTCTTCATGGATCCTGAAAGCACCCAAGACATCCATCTGTCTCTCCTATTCAGACGGGCAGCAGGAAGACAATTGGGAAATTCAAGGGTGAATTCTTGTCTTCCTTCCAAAAAGAGGGAGGAACACCTGAGAAAGGCCTGCTTCTCTTATTCCAGGTGTCTGTAGCCGTGTCAGAGCCCTGGCAGGTGACCACCAAAGGGGGGAACTGGGGGCCAGGGAGGGCTTTAAAACAAAAAGTGCCATGACTTTAATATGCTCTGATTCTATCCACGTACATTCTGACCAAACACTCTATGATTTCAATTTCTCAGGAGTGCAAGAGGTTTAATCACAATGAAACATCTTAACATCAAGAAATACTTATCTCCTAAGAACAAAGGTGCACCCAGACCAAAGGGTCAGCTTTGGAATTAGAATATAAATTCTAATCCTCCTATTTATTTGCTGTGTGACATTAGCCAAGTCACCTAACTATGGCCTATGGTCACCTAACACAGAGCCTATGGCCTCAGTGGTAACACTGGAATTATAATATCCATTCAGAGGGTTAATGTGAAGATTTCCTGGGAAAATGTTTCTAAGATGGCTGGCAGAGAACCTGAAACTATTGCTATTTTTTTTTTTATTTTTGTTATTGTGAAATATCACACATAGTGAAAAATGCTATAATTTCCTTTTGCAGGTATTAGCCTGTGTGTTAGTTTCAACTGTTCTCTCCACAACGTTATTACAAATCTGGCCATCCCTCAGCATGCTTCCAGGCCGTGTTTCTTTGCATTTGACACCACACCAGGAAAGATGGACTGAGACTAGACCACGTGTGAACACAAGATTTCCTTGAGTACATTTTGAGGAATGTTGTCTGGAATTTGAGACCCAAATCTCCTAAGAGTCACACCACACAGGACAATGAAACAGAGATCAACCAGAGTCAAGCTTTCAGTGTCCTCAGAATGGTGTGAGTCACGCCACACAGGACAATGAAACAGAGATCAACCAGACTCGAGCTTTCACTGTCCTTAGAATGACACCAGAAAGTCAGAGGGGACATTAGAAATACCACTGTGGGGTAAGAATGACAACTATCGGGGAAATTGCACTCTTCAGGACAGGTTGCACAAGACAGAGTCTCAGATCTGTGAGTTCCCCAAATTGAGGAACTTGCATACTAGGTATCCACCAACATCTGCTTATTTAGACATTGAGGGCATTATTTAAAAGGTTGAAAGGGCCAATATCAGACCTGCTGGGCAAGTTCCAGCTGGCCGCTGGCAAAGGCCAGCTCCCCCAGGAACTGATGGCTTGTGATCAAGCTGGCTGGAACCACAGACAGCCTAATTTTTACAAGAAGGGGAAAACTGGGGAATGCTGCACCAGCATTGGAGTATAGGACTCCCAGTCCTGGCTGGAGAATGTGCAGGACCCACAGGGATGCTATTGGCGTCTGGGCCAGAACCATTCTCCACTGCACAGGGCTAATCTGCAGGATACTTGGCCTCCCTGATACACAAAATGCCAGGAATCCTACCTGGTTGACATGACAACCAAGAATACCCTCCCACATTTCCAAAAGCCCCTGGATGGAAAGGGTTACCACTCCTGTCTGGGGCCACCTTAGGGACAGTCCATAGTCTGATATGTCCCAATGCTGGTGCACACCAAAGTCCCCTGGGGAGCTTTTGAAACATGCAGAAGCTGAGACCCCAGCCCCAAGAGTCAGATCCAAATGGGACCAGGCATTGGTGTGTCTAAAAAGCTCCCCAGGTTGAACCGGTATACACCGTTGGTGGGAATGTAAATTAGTACAACCTGTATGGACAACAGTTTGGAGGTCCCTCAAAAAACTAAAAATAGAGCTACCATATGATCCTGCAATTCTACTCCTAAGTACATATATCCCAAAGAAAGGAAATCAGTGTATCGAAAAGATATCTGCACTCTCATGTTCATTGCAGCACTATTCACAATAACCAAGATTGGGAAGCAACCTCAGTGTCTATCAACAGATGAATGGATAAAGGATATGTGGTGCATATACTCACAATAGAGTACTATTCATCCGTAAAAAAGAATGAGGTGCTGTCATTTGCAACAACATGGATGGAACTGGAGGTCATTATGTTAGGTGAAACAAGCTAGGCACAGAAAGACAAACTTTGCATGTTTTCACTTATTTGTGGGAGCTAAAACGTAAAACAATTGAACTCATGTAGACAGAGAGCAGAAGGATGGTTACCAGAGGTTGGGAAGGGTAGTTGGCTGGGGGACTAGGGATGGTTAATGGGTACAAAAAAATAGAAAGAATGAATAAGATGTACTAGTTGCTAGCACAACAAAGTAACTATAGTAAAAAAAAAATAATTTAATTGTACAGTTAAAAATAACTGGGTGGGCATGGTAGTTCATGCCTGTAATCCCAGCACTTTGGGAGGCTGAGATGGGCAAATCACTTGAGGTCAGGAGTTTGAGACCAGCCTGGCCAACATGGTGAAACCTCATCTCTACTAAAAATGCAAAAATTAGCCTGGCATGGTGGTGCACGCCTGTAATCCCAGCTACTCGGGAGGCTGAGTCAGGAGAACCATTTGAACCTGGGAGGCAGAGGCTGCAGTGAGCCGAGATCACCCTACTGTACTCTAGCCTGGGCAACAGAGCGAGACTCTGTCATAGATAGATGGATAGAGAGATAGAGAGAGAGAGAGAGAGAGAGAGAGAGATAAAAAAAATACTAAGAGTATGACTGGGCCAGGTGCAGTGGCTCATGCCTATAATCCCAGCACTTTGGGAGGCTGAGGCGGGTGGATCACTGAGGTTAAGAGTTTGAGACCAACCTGGCCAACATGGTGAAATTCTGTCCCTACTAAAAATACAAAAATTAGCTGGGCATGGTGGCACGTGCCTGTAGTCCCAGCTACTCAGGAAACTAAGGCAGGAGAATTGCTTGAACTTGGGAGGCAGAGGTCGCAGTAAGCCAATATCATGCCACTGCCCTCCAGCCTGGGAGACAGAGTAAGACTCTGTCTAAAAAATAATAATAATAAAAATTTAAAAAAAGAGTATGAGTGGATTATTAGTAACATAAAGATAAATGCTTGAGGGGATGCATATCCCATTTACTCTGATGTGAGTATTATGCATTGCATGCCTGTATCAAAATATCTCATGTACCCCATAAATATATACACCTACTATTTACCCACAAAAATTAAAAATTAAAATATATATATTTTTAAAGTTCCCCAGGTATTTCTAATAGACGACCGAAGTGGAAAATCCCCTCATCTACAGGCATGCAGCAAGGAGGGGGCTGGCCCGTGTCCAAAGGGTGGGAGGAAGAGGAATTCTAAAAGCATTAATCCATCAGTTGAAGAGAAAGAAATGTCCTCTCCCCATGACTTCAGACCTGCGTAGAGGTGGTCATCTACGAGTGCAGTGGGGGAACAGAGGAGGGGGAGCCCACTGGTCCAGGTTACAGAGGGAGCACTCGGCCATAACTGTGCTCTAAATAGTCTCCAGCTCTATCACAGGCCAGAGGGGCCTCAAATCTGCTGCTGGGGAAGTTCATCAGAGCTGAGGAGGAGAAAGAGATAGCTATAGCACCCGCAGCTGACAAGAAGCCAGGACAGTAGGAAGTGGCAGGGCAGGGGGCAGCTGGGTCACACCCAGAAAGAAAGGCAAGTGGGTCCCCAGCTCTTCCAGACAACCCTACCAACCACAATGTTGGTGTCTGTGGGGAAGCAGTTTCCCAGCTGCAGAGACCCTGCCCCTCCAGCCCTTTGCCTGTTCCACAGAGGGGAAGCCAAGCAAAGATCCCTTCCTTCCTCTCCCACCTGGGGAGCTCCTGGTTGGCCCGCCCAGCTCCTGACTTCCATGACACAGAAACAGAAAGGGCAGAGAGACGAGGCAGAGCATGGGGAGGAAAGAGACAGAAGGAAACGAAAATTGGGCCCCAGTAGATGGTGGTTTCTTGATGGGGGAAGGTAGGAGGGTGAGAGTGAGATGCCGTGGAACAGCAAGGACAATGGCCTTGAGAACAGGGCCACATTATAACTTTCAGGGTCCCTTCCTCTAGAACAAGCAGACAGATTAAAAAGCATATTTTATGACTATACTGGTATAAAGACAAATACAGGCCGGGCGCGGTGGCTCACGCCTGTAATCCCAGCTCTCAGGGAGGCAGAGGTGGGAGGATAGCTTGAGCCCAGGAGTTCGAGACCTGCCTGGGTAATATAGCGAGACCCCGTTCTCCACCAAAAAAAAAAAAAAAAAAAGACAAAAAAATAATAATAAAGACAAATACAATCCATGCTAGATTCATTATTACATACTCATTATTATAATATTCATTTTTCCCTTCTGATTTTAAAAGAAATACATAACATTTATGTGGGTTCCTTCCAGTTTCATGGGCCCTAGGCATTGTTCCTCCTGGGTGTGAGGGATAAGCCAGCCCTGCTTGAAAGAAATACATCGAAATGTGTATTCTCTAGGAGTGCCATTCTACTTGATTGAGGATTTTTAAAACTGTCTTGGTTGATGATACTTCCTCAGTTTTCTGCAACAAGCTCAGATAAGAAAGAATAATAAGGCCGGGTGTGGTGGCTCACGCTTGAGGTCAGGAGTTTGAGACCAGCCTGACCAAAGTGGTGAAACCCCATCTCTACCAAAAATACAAAATTAGCCGGGTGTGGTGGTGCATGCCTGTAATCTCAGCTACTCTGGAGGCTGAGGCAGGAAAATCACTTGAACCCGGGGCGGAGGTTGCAGTAAGCCGAGATCAGCCATTGCACTCCAGCCTGGGCAACAAGAGTGAAACTGTCTCAAAAAAATAAAAATAAAAAAGAAGAAATAATAAAAGCAAACAGTGACACAGGGCCTCCTCCAGCTGGCACTCACAAGCAGCTGCCATGCACTAAATCATTTAATAGCCTCAACAGCCTAACGAAGCAGGGACTGCTCTCCTGCCCAGTGACAGAGGAGCAGCTGAGCCCAGGCAACCCGTTAACCCTCAAGGGACATGATGAGTCTGTTCCTCATGCTACCTACACCAGGTAACACGCCGTCTCTCCCGTGGTGGGCGGCTCACGCACCTCTGCAGCAGCGGCTCCAGCCACCCCTCGTGGCACTCACAGTGACAGTCTAGGAAGGTCAGGACATCGCCCCTCGCCGCAGACGCCCCCAGCAGCCGGGCTCGCACCAGGCCCTCTCTCTTGTTGGCGCGGATCAGGCGTACCTTGGGCAGTCCCGAAAGCTCATTGGCCAAGCGCTCCTTCAGGTGCTCTAGGGAGGCAAACAAAGCAACAGAGGTCACCGTGACAATCTTGGAGGAGTGCCTCATCCCAAGCTGGGGCCTTCTGGACCTCTGTGTCCCAAACAGAAGATGAAACAGACAGGTGCCTCCTTTGCTCTGCCACCTGGAACATCCTCACCTCACCCAGAACCAAGGTTGGAGGTGCTCTGAAGGCCAGAAGGAGGTTGGGGGAGGAATTCCAGAACCACCATTTGCTCCCCATCAAAACACATGCACGTTGAATTGTGCACTTCAAATGGGTGAATTGAATGGTGTGTGAATATATTTCAATAAAGCTGTTACAAAAAATGCTTTACAGTTTTGACTCATGAGCATTTAAAAAGCAAAAAACACATGAACCATCTAATTGCAATTTTTATAAAAACAGTAGTTATGCTAATAGAAATTTTCTCAAGAGTACTTTACAGTTTCAGTAGTAGTCACAATAATAATAGCAGCTAAAACTAAAGAGGACTTGCTGTGCCAAGTACTACCGAGGCGATTTCTAGATAACCCATCTGATCCTCATAACAATCCTCTGAGGCAGGTACTAGTATTATCCCCATTTCACAGATGAGGGCACTGAGGCTGGGAAGGCTAAGTAACTTGCCCAAGGTCATAGAGTAAGTAAGTTGAAGAGCCATGAGGGCAACCCGGCTCCAAATTCTACAAGCTAACGCTACTGCCCAGAGCAGCCACCAGAGTGACAGCCTGTCTATAAATAAATCAATAAATAAAAGCATTCATTGGTTGATTTTTTTTTTTTTTTTTTTGAGACAGGGTCTCACTGTGTCAGCCAGGCTAGAGTGCAGTGGTGCAATCACAGCTCAACCTCAACACAGCAGCCTCAACCTCTTGGGCTCAAGTGATCTTCCCACCTCAGCCTCCCAAGTAGCTGGGACTACAGGCGTGCGCCACCACACCTAGCTACTTTTTAAATTTTTTGTAGAGGTAGGGTCTTCCTATGCTTCCCAGGCTGGTCTCAAATTCCCGGGCTCAAGCAATCCTCCCGCCTTGGCCTCCCAAAGTGCTGGGATTACAGGCATGAGCCACCGCACCCAGCCAATTTTTTAAAAAATCCAAATTATAACCACAAATGAGTTGATGGCAGGAATGAGGCAGGTAACTTTGCAAGCAAAGCTAATTAGCTACAGTACCCAGTGAATCCATGAGTGCAGCGTGGCTGCCCTGCACTCATGATGGATCTTGTCAGTGTTAATTTTATGTTTGCCTGAACTGTCTCCCTGCATCTGGGAAGGCCTGACACCCTTTCATCAAGCTCACACTGACACTGCAGAAATGGTGGGGAGGGGAGGCAGGGCAGGACCTCCTAACTCACTACAGGTTAAAGCGGGACATCACGCCTGTTGTCCCAAGTTCCCACAATGACAGGAAGGGAAGCTTGGTCCACATTGCCTCACATTTTTATGAGAGAATTGAGATGTGTCAGAGGAATTCATGCGGTATTCCTGCCTGCTGAGGCGCTATTTAATCCCATTATGATAAAATAAATAATCTGCTCTTTGCTTTTAGATTAATATATTTGTGAAATGCTGTTTTTTTATTTTGCAACTTTTTAAACATTATAAAAATAGAAATTATCATCTAACAAGAGCTCACTAAATGCCAAGCACCTACCCAGCACGTTACCCTGTTCATCTCATTCAACACTCGTGATGATCCTACAAGGTAGAAGCTATTATTATTCCCATTTTATAGAGGCTGAAGCCAAGTTTGAAACTGGTTAGGGTCATTGCTCAAAGTTGTATAGTCGCTAGGGGTTAGAGGGGGATTCAAGCTCATGCAGTGTGGCCCAGAACCAGTGTCTACACAGAGAGATTTAAAATAACCCTGGGGGAAAATGGAAAAAGGAAATGTAGAGGAGCACCTACTATGTGCCAGCTGCTACATGAGGTTCTGACCTATACATGATCCCATTTATTCCCCACTGTTATTCTCTTGAGATAGGTGCGGACAGACTCATTCACAGGTGAGAAACCAAGGCTCAGAAAAGACAAGCAACTCACCCAAGGCGCTATAACTGGATCACGGGAAAGCTCACCTCAGACCCAGGTGCCCTAACCCCAGAACCTAACACCTTCTAGGCTACAGTCAGCACGAAACCCCAGCCTGGCTTACCCCAGCCTGGCTTACACACTGTCACAGACACTGCTCCTTGTGCCTTAAACCCATTCTCCCTGTGACCTGTAACTGAGCACACAGCCAGCAGGATAAAGGTCACAGCTCCCAGCCTCCCTTGCAGCTACACGTGGCCAGGCAACCACGCTCTGCTCAATGGGATGTGTGGAGAACTTCCAAGCAGTGCCCTCAGGAGGAAGGGTGTGGCTCTCCTTCCCCTTTAAGCCTTCTGGTTGAACAGAGTGAGCAGGAGGTGAAAAGCCAGCCCGGTCCACAAGGACCAAGGCAGCAGAGCACCCTAGAGAAGGTGGGAACAGGCGCAGAAGGAGCTGAGGCCCCATTCACCAAGGAGCCACCACACCCATTCTAGACTAGCACACCAGATTTGTGATGTGAGAAGTCTATTTTTATCTTGTGTGAGTCACTATTGAGTCTGTGAAAACAGCCCAATGCACATGCCTATTAGAACACAGAGGCCAGTTTTGAAGTCAGAGCAAGTGCAGTGTCTGAGGCAGCAGATGCCCCATCAGCAGGGATTGCTTCCCTTTGAGACAGGCTGTAGAGACTAAGCCCACAGCTCTACCTGCTGTTATAGCCTTGACACTTGCCCTTGGTTAAGCTTAGCTGCTCTCACTTCAGCTAGCCCAAGGATTCACGGGCTGATGCTACTCCACTGGCCAGTTCCGGCCAAGCCAAGACTCTGCTACATGTGGGCGCCACAGAGGACCCTCCACCCTTCTTTGCCTCCATCCTCACCCAGCCCCTCCCCTGCCATCGACCATTCCCCACACAGCTGGCTCAGCGAGCTCCTCAGATGGACCTAGACCTTACTGTCCCCAAAGCTCCCCATCAAGCTCACACTTAAGCCTCAACCCTTATGGCGGCCTCCAAGGCCCTACCAGATCTGGCCCTGCCCATCCTGCAACCTCACCTCCTAAATCACCTCCACTGGCCAATGGTTGTCCCAGAAACTGCCCAGAGAATGCCCTGCTCCTTCCAGTTTCCCACAGCTGCTGTTTCTGGGCTACTATCTCTGATGTCTTCTTTGGGTGCAGGGGGACACAGGAAGCCCATCCTTACTGGGCCTACTTGAATGCCCCGCTCCTTCCAGTTTCCATGCCTGCTGTTTCTGGGCTGCTATCCCGAGGTCTTCTTTGGGTGCGGGGGACACAGGAAGCCCATCCTTACTGGGTCTACTCTAGCCCTCCTGCATCCCAGTCTTACCTCCCAGACACTGCCACAGAAGAACAGGCTCTTCCCAGAGCCCTGGCCAGGACTCACCTCTATCACTGTAGTCATCTACAAGGATCACTTCTTCTAGCAGGATATCCGGGGATGTCTCAAGGACACTGTAAACTGTCCGAAGGAGAGTTGACCAGGCTTCATTATAAAATGCTATGATAACAGATGTCCTGGGCAAATTATCATAATCATATTTCTTCTCTTTGCACCTGCAAATACAGCACAACTTCAGAAACTGAGGATCTAGCCCAGGCTGGCACTGGGGATGGAGTGACGAAGGGGACATCGGTTTATGGTCCCCTGGGGAAGGGGACATAATCTGCTGAAAGATCTTCCGGAGCTCCCCTTTTGGCAGTAGGGGCCCCAGCAGACTCCAAGAAAGGTCCTAACCATGATACCCACCTAGCTTTTACTGTGGAATATTGTTCTAAGCTGTCAAGCAACTTTTGGATTTGAGTAACATACAAACCAGGCAGAATCAGAAGGAAGGGAATTGGCACTTCTTTCTTCCCCATCGCCCTCCTCTCTGTCTACCCTGCCCCAATCTCACTCCCAGACCTTTGCTCAGACTGTTCCCTCTGCCTGGAATGCCCCTTCCTCCCTTCTCTAGTTGGCAAGCTCCCAGCTCAGGCCTGTTCTCCTTTGTGAACTACCTGGGACCACCTATCTCAGGCAGTTGTTATCTCCTCAATGCTCCTCCAGCACCCGGCCCACCTCCATCTCAGCATGCACCACTCACAGTATTCTGAGTCCTCATGTACCACTGTACCACTCCCTACCTTCTCCCAGCATCCAATACTGTCTAGGCTTAGCAAAGGTGGTATCCTAAATGCATAAACTAGAATTGGGGCTAGGACCTATGAACACTCCAGGAAGGACTCTGCAGAGGACACTGGTTACCTCCCCAAAATCCCCACTGCCACCCACCCCCCAAGATGTGGTAGTCATGTGGTGGGGTGAGGCTGAGCCCACTCAACGCCAGCAGTGGGCCTGACTGGCAGTGATTAGAACCAATAAGCTCCCTCTTTGTTTAGCAATTTGCTGTCACTTTGAACTGAAGGTTCCCTGGTTGACACAGAATTCTATCCTGAGTGACTGATGACAAATTCCCAGTGTCATGGGACTGACTAAGGGGCAGTACCTGGAGACCATCAGTGGGAAGCAGCTGATGGCAAGGTGGGAGAGCAACACCATGGGGATACCAGAAGGGGCAGAGTTTGAATGCTGGGGGCTGGCCAAAGGTTAGACCAAGAGATCAGTTAGATATTCAAGAAGGGCGTGAAATGCTGGAGACCAGCCAGGCTCCCTGGATTGCTAAGGCAAGGCCTTCCCAGATAAGTTAAGTGACAGATCAAAGAGGACAGGAGCAAAGATGCCAAACTAGGCAGGAGGAGGAGGGAAACTGACATCTGCTGTCTACCACATGCCAGCATTGTGTTACTGGGCCCTTTATCAGTCAGTCACCAAAAACTTCCTGAGCACCTACTGTGTGCCAGATAGGCCAGGCCCCTGCTCCCATGGAGCTCATATTCAGGGGACAGTAATCAACTAAACAAACAAATCAGGAATTCAGAAAGTGGTAGTGCTATGGAAAATGGAAAGGAGAGTGATGAAAGAGAACAACTTTGAAACTATGGAAGTGAGAAACAGAGGAGTGCAGAGGGGGAAGGAGAGCAACTATAGGACAGGTAATCTGGGAGCGGCACTTGGAGGAGGTGACATTTAGGATGAGACCGGAATGATGAGCCCCATGAAAAGTTAGGGAAGAGCCCTTAGCATACAAAAGTATTTGTTTTTTCCTCTTTTACTTAACTATTAGAATTTTGTTTTGTTTTGTTTGTTTTTGAGACTGAGTCTCGCTCTGTTGCTCAGGCTGGAGCACAGTGGCACGATCTCGGCTCACTGCAAGCTCTGCCTCCTGGGTTCACATTATTATCCCACCTCAGCCTCCCGAGTAGCTGGGACTACAAGTGCCCACCACCACGCCCGGCTAATTTTGTTTTTGTATCGTTAGTAGAGACGGGGTTTCACTGTGTTAGCCAGGATGGTCTTGATCTCCTGACTTCGTGATCTGCCCACCTCGGCCTCCCAAAGTGCTGGGATTACAGGCGTGAGCCACCGTGCCTGGCCAGAAATTTCAACATTAAAAAAGCAGAACAGGGCCGGGGACAATGGCTCACACCTGTAATCCCAGCACTTTCAGAGCCTGAGGCCAGCAGATCACTTGAGGCCAGGAGTTCGAGACCAGCCTGACCAACATGGCGAAACCCCATCTCTACTAAAAATACAAAAATGAGCCAGGCATGGTGGCACATGCCTGTAATCCCAGCTACTCGGGGAGCTGAGGCATGAGCATCACTTGAACCCCAGGAGAGGGGGGTGGCAGTGAGCCAAGATTGTGCCACTGTACTCTCAATTCATCTATGTCAACACCACTCCCTCTGCCCCAGATTATTTGTAAAGAAAATCCAGTATATTGTAGCATCTAAAAATAGTTCAATATGTGTCTCTAACAGGTAAGGACTCCTTTTAAATACACATAGTAACTTTGTCATACCTTAGAAAATTACTTTTGTGCTCCAGTCTACAGTATTTCAACAAAGTGGAGCAGCCCTGGGTTGGAAGACACGACATTTTTTAATGAACCAATAAGAAGAGATACCACCCCACACTCGTCAAAATGACCATTATTAAAAAGTCAAAAAACAACAGATGCTGGCGAAGTTGTGGAGAAAGAGGAAAGCTTTTACACTGCTGGTGGGAGTATAAATTAGTTCAACTATTGGGGAAGAGAGTGTGGCGATTCCTCAAAGACTTAGAGGCAGGAATGCCATTTGACCCAGCAATTCCATTACTGGGGACACACCCAGTGGAATACAAATCATTCTACTATAAAGATATATGCACGCATATGTTCATTGCAGTATTATGCACAATAGCAAAGACATGGAATCAATCTAAATGCCCATCGATGAAAGAAAATGTGGTATATATATACCACGGAATGCTACACAGCCATAAAAAGGAATGAGATTATGTCTTTTGCAGGGACATGGATGGAGTTGGAAGCCATCATCCTCAGCAAACTAATGCAGGAACAGAAAACCAAATACCACATGTTCTCACTTAAAAGTGAGAGCTGAATGATGAGAACACATGGATACATGGAGGGGAACAACACTCACTGGGAACTGTTGTGGGGGGTGGGAGGAGGGAGAGCATCAGGAAGAATAGCTAATGCGTGCTGGGCTTAATACCTAGGTGATAAGATGGTCTGTACAGCAAACCACCATGGCACACGTTTACCTATGTAACAAACCTGTACATCCTGCACAGGTACCTATAAACTGAAAAGCGGGGGGAAAAAAAGACAAGTGCTGCCTAGCATAACGGTAAGATGCATTGATTTTTAAGACACATGCTAATTTTAGAAATGTTGAAATGTGGGAAAAAATGCGCCTCTGAATTGATGACATGTAGTACTTCATTTTACCTTCAAGACGACTTCCTATGTTAGCATTTATTGTTCCCATGTTAAAGGCTAAGAAAGGTGGAGTGACTTGGTCGGTTCACAGAGCACATGCTAGTGTGTACCGGGCTGAGATCTTTGTGTCGAGGGATCTCGTTGCAGGGTTCTAGCTTGTTCCTTCTACCCAACAGGAGGCTCAGGTGGGCCATCTGAATCTAAAGATCCCTGTATCACATCTCCCCACCTGGCCTTCCCTCCCACCAAGATAAGGACAATTTCTCTTCTCCTTCTCAGAGTCCAGGGTCCTCTTCCCTGGAATGAGTTCCAGGTCCCTCTTGCTAATGCCAGGACAGCCTCTACAGCAAGTTCCAAGGCTCCCTGGCAGTGGCGTTGCTCTGCTGTCACTGGGATGATTTCCCTTCAGCTGTGAACAGGCTTATCTGAGAATCTCTGATAGGGGCTGGGGCTGTTCTCGCCAGCTTTATATACTCACCCCTGCTGCATCTGGAGGCCCTGCTCTGGGTGCTTGAGAAAAGGTCAGCCCAGGCTGGAAGCATGAAAGCTGTGGTGTGGGGAAGACACTGGGCATCCCCACCAGCACCTAGCCAGCCAGGAGTCGAATCCCCAGACACCATAGGCTTTCAACTCATGCAAGTAGTTAACTTAGCACTGACCCTGTGGAAGGCTTTGTGCTCCAGAGAAGGGAGTCTGATCCACATTCAAAGGGAGGAGAAAGCGGCTCCATCTCTTGGACAGAGGCTATCAGAGAATTTGTGGATATATTTTAAAACTACCACACATGAAAAGCAGGAGAAACAGTGTATGACTTCCAAGACTACATCATAAAACACTGATGATTCCTCTTTGTTTCCTCAATGGAATGTATCATCCATTCTGGAGCAAGCCGGCTGCCATGCTGTGAGGATACTCAAGCAGCCCTATGGAGAAGTCTATGTGGCAAGCAACTGAGGTTTCCTGCCAACAGCCAGTACAATCTATCCAGCCACGTGAATGAGCCATTTTGGAATCAGAACCTCCAGCCCCACCCAATTATGCCTTCAGGGGATCAAAATCCCAAGTGACATCTTGGCTATAATCTCAAGAGAGATTCCAAGCCAGAACCACCCAGTTAAGCTATTCCTAAATTCCTAGTCCATAGAAACTGTGTGAAATAACAAGTGTTTATTGCTATTTTAAGCCACTAAATTTTGTGGTAATACACACCATAAAATAAATCACAAGGAAAGTATCTGACAGACCTAAACTGAGACATTTTATAAACCAATGGGGTTACTGGATTAGGAAGGAAAAATCTTGCTACAAAAGTTGGGACAGCTGGCCGGGCACGGTGGCTCACACCTGTAATCCCAGCACTTTGGGAGGCCGAGGCGGGCGGATCACCTGAGGTCAGGAGTTTGAGACAAGCCTGACCAACATGGTGAAACCCCATCTCTACTAAAAGTACAAAAAAATTAGCTGGGCATGGAGGTGCCTGCCTGTAATCCCAGCTACTCAGGAGGCTGAGGCAGGAGAATCGCTTGAACCCAGGAGGGTTGCAGTGAGCCAAGATCACTCCATTGCACTCCAGACTGGGCAGCAGAGCGAGACTTCGTCTTAAAAAAAAAAAAAAAAGAAAAAAGTTGGGACAGCTATAGACATCCAATATTGGATAAATATCCTGAACTTGATATTACATCACGGTATCATGAGAGAATGTCCTTGTTCTTTGAAAATACATGC